TGGGAGGAGGAAAAGTTTACCGTCAGCGAAACTCTTCAGTCTAGGAAAATATAGGTACTGGTCTTAATTTAAGGAGGGAAGGTACTACTCGGGGAGAGTCGTCAACATTTTTTACGAATTTATAAAGTTCAGATATAAATAGGTATTTTGCGTTTGTACAATTATTTATTTAATCATTTTGTATATTCACACTTAATACTCAACTTTTGTAACTTGTTGAATAATAATATTACGATACAAAATAAGTATGGGAGATACATCCACACAGGTTTATGCTGCGTAAATTAAAGTCGCCAAAATCATAAAATCCGACTAACCTAAAATTATAGTAGGATTAAAATTAATTTCAATTTCAATATTGTAACAAAAATTACTGGCATTAATTTGCTTTTTTATTTAACATTTTTTAATTAATTTTTTTAATAGGTAATCCGATTGAAAAAACTAAAAATAGTCATTATAATTGTTGGGACTTGTATCTCCTATCTACATGGCTGCACAACTACAACACTAATAATATAATATTATATGATATATCGATATTATACCATATATAATATTATTAATATATTATATATGTGGTTAGATTACACAGTCCGCAGCTGACAACTGTAAGTTGTAGACAGTAGTCAGAGAAATCGACAGTTGTAACTATTTATAGTTAAATACAAAATGAATTTCAATTTTTGTGTGGTTATAATATAACTTAATGAATAGTGTTGACTCATTATTTCTAAGCGAGAACTGAAAACATTATTGGCCAACTTGATATTCATTACAGTTTACTTTATTACTTCAAACTGTTTCAGACGTTTATGATAATTGTTTTATTTACTCAGTAAAAATGTAAAATGCCCGACATTGTGAAGTGTCGAAACAAAAGAAAAATAATTCAAACAAAATCGTTTTCGTTTGGGCTATTTATAGGAATAAGAAAATTTCGAATATTATTTGTTATTTATAATTATTTAATTATTAATTATACATTTTTTGCTCGATCGAAAAACTAGAAAATTGAATTGACAGTTTCTCAAAAGTTGTAGTAAGTACAAATTTTAAAAAATGTTCAGCATAAATCGACAATAATTGTTGGGATAAATAATTTATTGACTTTACGGGGTGATCTTTATTTTTCAATTTTTTTTTATTTTGTAGAATCTATTTAGTGTTTATACATATATGCTTTTTCATGTGTTTTTAAAAATTAAAAAAAATTTAATTTATAGCCTTTCTAATGCGACTATCTATTTTTATCAGCGTCTGAAGTCAGAATTTTGACAATTTATTTTAGGTAATACTATAATATAATTTCCGAGTTTCCAACCATAGACCAAACTTGATTACTTTAAGCAGGTCAATGAAGTAGTTTCTTCAAAATTAAAGTAAAGTATGTATTATTCGTTCAGTGATGCACGACGTTAGCAAAAACCGTAGGTATCTTTATATTATAATATACATTTTCGGAAGTCTTTGTATTCACTACTGACCAGTGACCATATACCGTATGTACCTATTATATAATAGTGCAATGAATGACTAGACAGTTTGGACTATAGAGCAGGGATGGCAAACCTTTTGAACACTGCGTGCCCGAAATTACCTTTTTTTTAAAGAGTGCCATGAAAAAAATATTAAAAATATTATATTTTATAATGCTATAATTTGATTGTATAATTTTAATGTATTAGTATAAAAAGGTTAGTTTAGGTTATTATAGGTTCTATAATATTATACATTACCTATATAATATATAAATATATAATAGTAAACATTTTCACGTGCCTCCAGGCTACAAAATCTTTTCGAGTGCCCCCTCGGGCAAGAGTGTCATGGATTTGCCATCCCTGATATAAAGTATTTCATAATATAGTACAATCAGTAGACTATATATAATATACATTATGAGCTTCCACAAAACCCAGAAATGCAACAAATACTGTCATACTGACGCCAGGTAAACATCATGACTATTATAATATTATTGTAATTATTGTGACTGTATGCGTGCACAACTTCATCTAAAGTAAGAACCTGCAAGTCGGGTTTTATTAATTTAAATTTAGAAACAAAAAATTGATGATGTTGCATTTAACAGTTTTGATTGCGTTGCGTTATTCACCTACTATATCATAATAAGATATTATAACTGTAAAAATTGATTTTTCGAATTTTTTCATATATAAAGCACTCTTTGAACAATGCGACCGACGCTTATCTTCATTACTAAAAATGTACCTAGATAGTAGATAATCTCTCCATAAATAGGTCTATGCGATAAGGACTATAATTATTATCACAATTTTATCGCTATTCGCTAACCATCTGAACCGTGGTTCGTTTATAGGTATATAATATAGAGGTAGGTACCTACTTATAATGAATAATATTTTGCTGTACCAAAAATTGCAGTAGGTAGATTTAGTTATTATACTTTAAATGTTAATAGCCAATGTGTCTCAAGTCTTAACGTCTCCGCACATAAATGCAATATTTGTATTTATAGTAAACCTTGTATTCAAGTTATTAAAGTTATTGCAGTATAAGCTACAGTATAAAATACGGATCGAAAAAGAAAAAGCATGTCAAGATAAAATATTATTGTCTCTATTGTAGACTCTTTAGATTATTATATTGGTTCTTAAGTTTTGCTGTTTCTGAGATGTTATAAAAATAATTGATTTCGCTCAAATTGTAGCGTCAATGTCAAATGATATAATTTATATACTTATAGTGGCTTAGGTATATAACTATATAGCAGCTATAACGGTTTTTCCTTTAAATATCCCTACACTCGTTTTCTGTAAAGTTCGTTCATCAATCTTGCAAAGACGAAAACAAGTAACATAATAATCGTTGTACAGAACTCTAAAATAACCACAGCCGTATAGGAACCCATACACGAACAAAAAATTGAACCAAAGAACAAAATTCTTGACTACGCGTGGCGTGGCGTTACTGGCACAGTAACACACTCGTATATAAATATATATAATATACATAGACATATTGTATGGGTATATAAGTACCTATTAAATTTGTAACTTAGCTCATATTGCCTTGAAAAATATGATAAACACGTACGGCTTTGTATATTGTACATACTATATAGGTAGATATAGGTGAATGATATGCCGTTCATAATAGGTATTAGGATACCTATATATTATAGCTGGGATATACAGGTGTATATAACCTACAAGTCAATACGTACCTTATATACAATTGTATACTATTCCAATCCATAACCAGTGTGGATATTGGCTATATTTATATCAATAAAATATTATAAATAATACCGATATTACTAATTAACAGTATGCACTTCCCTATATCAGAGTTTAGTACTCAAAACGCGCTAAACTAGGTATATTCGTGACATTTTAATCTACAGCTGGTAAAATATGTGCTATACTTAATAATTAATAGTATAATATTAACTAATACTTAGCCATATGGCCATATGGAATCTTGAAATTCAGTCAATATCGTTACTTATCTTTTCATTAAACAACTACCGCCATGTATTAGATTAAGAAACTGATATTTTTTACAGTATATATGTCTATACCTAAAAGATAAAAAAAATAAGATGTGCATATCTAAATAATATAAGTACAACAATTAACTAATGCCAAATATATTATAACTACATGCAATCAAAAGTACTGGTTTCAGTTACGTTATGTCATTTGCAGGTGGGCACTTACCTATAATATAAATAAGAAAATAAACATACAGTAAGTACCTTATAATAAATAAATAAACACATCAACAAAATAATATTTAACAAATATATTATACCTATGGGTAATATAGCCATATAGGTATACAGCACATACTTTTTAAAAATTAATGAATTGAAAATTCATATAAATTATATTTTTGGAAAAAAATACTTAAGAAATGTGAACATTTTTGTATGCAGTGTGCATATTATTGGTATAACGGCTGAAAATGTATGATTAATTAAAACACAATATTATAATAGATTATCAGTTAATAGATAATTGACCAACGTATTTGTGTTTACCTACGGACTATGGTCAGTGAAAACTTAAGGGACTCTGGATTTACCAATGTAAATCATCGTGTTTATCTCGTAACCACGTGCAGATATAAATTATGATGTAAACATTTTATTAATATTCCTATACTCTGCTCCGCGAGAGAAGTAACCCGTTTCGCGCATGCAGACTGACGGCAGTGACTACTACGATGCCCCGTTTCCCGCACTTGGTGCCATTTAATGTGGCGCTGTGCCGCTGTGGTGTTAACGATTGCGATCGTGCAACGTCGATAAGTCAAATATGTGAAGAATGCGATTCCTGATGGATTTTAACGCGATTTGGTTGGGACACGGGCTACTTCTCTCGTGGCGTGATGCATAGTATAATGTACTATGGTATATATTGGTAAGTACACGATTTAGATTAGTATTATATAGGTACAGTACATAATAGTATACGTCATGTTATTCACTAAACACTACACGCGTGAAGTGTATACCTATATATTAGGTATACACCAACGTCATATCGCATTACCATTTGTATGGGTAACCTACCAAAGTGCTCCTAATATTATTACTATTATTATTTATTACCCAGGTACTGTTGTTGTTGTTGTTGTCGAAGGTACTACCTATACACTTGGCAGCAGTAGATTAAACATTATAATATCATTAAATTAAATATTTAATCGTAATCAATATTATATTTACGACATCTGATGTCGGCAAGCACTTCGGCTGCGGGCTGCGACGCGCGTGCAAGTGGCGGCCGGCGTGTGTGAGTATGCGTTTGCACGTGACAAGCGGCCGCGCGAAACGGTCAAAATCGAATTTGCCCGCCAAACCCCGGCTGGCCGCCCGGCCAATAGGTTCGGCCGGCAAGCCGCCGCGTCGGCCAATCGGAACGCCGGGAATTGACGTCAGCGCTAAATTTAGAAAAGCCGGGCGCGAAAGGGTGTGGGGGGGACGACGGGGCGCACCGGCAGCGTGCCCGAGTGTCAGTGCCGTACGTTCAGTTCCGCGATGGTCGCGAAGCGGCGTGCGTTCTTCTGTGCGGTTGCTGCTCCTGTAATTTCTGCTGCGTCCGTTGTTGTTTTTACGATCCCGACCACCGATTATTGCCGCTTTCGTCTTCGCCGCAGTTGTGCCCGGACGACTTGAGCTCGAAACCGTTTTCGGTAAGTACTCAGACACATATAACTGTATCGTGTTCACTAGGTTTATGCCAAGTATCTGCAATTTTTTTTTTCTCCACTTCCCCGTCTCGATACCAATAATTGTATATTATTAGGTGTCCTAGAACAAGACTTTTATTGATGGTAGCTACACACAAGGTACAGGATAGAGCCTTTTTTAACCTGTAGAGAGGTTGTTTTTTTTGTTTCATTTTGTTAGGTGTCTATCTGTCTGTATTTTATTAGCTATAATACTTACAATAGTAAGAGTAGATAGGTATGAGTAGACATGTATAGGTCATAGGTAGGTACATAAAACCATAATTAGTTTCCTTTAAAAATCACTGACAATATGCGATTTATTATTAAATAGGTAGGTAGGAGGTATAATTATATTCTTAAGGTCTTAATTGTTACTATAATGTATGATTTATTGCGAAATTAAAAATGAAAATAAAAATTAACAATAAATGTTATAAAACTATGTTATTGTATAATTACAGATTTTACTTATTTTCTAACCAATTTATATATCAAAAGTAAACCGATTTGTACTAGATACCAATTTTTTTTAAATCAAATAATTGATAAGAATTTAACTATTTATCGTCAGTAATTTATACTCATTATATATACCTATATAATAAACCCGATAATTCGTATTTTCATTCATGATCCACGGTCATCAAAATATAACCTTTAGCAACGTAATCTAAATGAACTCATGATGTTTATATGCTATGGTAAATTTATCAGTATACATAATTAATAGGTATACAAGTAATTACTCGTATATAATGATAAACTGCAGTTATTCCTGTTCAACTATGAGAATAATATATAAGTAGATAATTTAAACGCGTTAATTTACTTAAAACTATATCACGAACAATGTTAGAAAAAAATATAAGCATCCACGCAATCACATTTTTCGAATATTTTGAGGAACATTAAATCCAGCACATTACAATATTTACATCGCAGTGTTATAATCATTAATTCATCTATAATTTTTCATGCATAAAAGTGCATTAATTATTTAATTTACTTCGTTTACGCTATAACGAGGACGTTATATGGCACGTGTCTATCGTTTATCCTACGCAAGCTTCAGCCTCAAATAATCACTTAATTTATGTGTTATAAGTAGTTGTAAGACGGCTGTTGTACTAAGTTAATGATTCTTTCGAATAAAAATTAAAAGTAAAAATAATATATCACATGTTTACTGTTTATTTTTAGTATTCAATTATTTATACAGGGTGATTCAAAAATTATGTTAACCCTCCTCCCTTTAATTAATGAGTCAATTAAATTTATATCATAATTTTGAAATATTTTTGTATATTTACTGAAAGAGTATAAGAAAAAAATATTATCAAATACTTAGATTGTTATGTCATTTAAGGAATATTCTATGATTTATATTTATAATTATTACCCAATTTTAATTAAGCTTGGTTTATCGTCCTTAGTTGATAGAAGAAAAGCTGTTAACCTGAAATTTCTTCGCCTCATAATAGATGGCTGTATTGATTCTCTTGTTTCACTTTCCATGATTAACTTTAAAATCCCTTACTCTTCTACCCTTCAAATTTATCCATTTTTTATTCCAAAATGCAATACCAATTATTCTGATATTCAGGCAATCATTAGAATGATGCGTATGGCAAACAGTGATCCATCATTTTTTTTATTATTTGTCGTATCTTTTATTGTGTTAATCACGTTTTTACTTATTGTTATTGTTGTTATTCATAGTTAACATTTTAATTAGTGTTATCATATTATGTATAATTGGGCTCAGCCTGTATTGTTGATAATAAATAATACAAAGTTATTTTGTTCAAATTAGAACCACCACCGTTATTGAAATTGGAGCTAAGCATAGGACTTTTTTGAAAATGTTTATGTATCTATAACAAGTATAGTTTCTGAATTATTAAAATAAATTAATGGACTAATAGATAGGGATTATAAATATATAAGGATAAAATTATTCAACTATTCATTAAAAATAAGATTTTTATAGGTTTAATAGAAATCTTTATTTTTAAATGACTATAGATACTATATAGACTATATTTTTGTGTTAAACTCACTGTATAAACGTATCTATAAATTGTTGTGAAAGCGAAACAAATATTTGTTTTACATATAATCAAGTAGGTGTAAGTTGACAATTAATATTTGTATGCATATCATTAATTAAAAATATTTAATGACTCTTTATGTGGGGTATCATTAAATTTTTGCTGTTTTATTTGACATTTTTATATTGATAAATAGATAAGACATTTTTGCATTTATAGTTTTTATAGTTTTTACTACGATATTTATGGCAAAAAAACGAAAATACATATACCTTCATAATTCTTGACACTTGAGTATGAGCACTCGATCATTGTTTACTTTAAGATTCTATTTTTTTTTATCCATAAAATTAATAAGTACTTGTATTTTATTCACTTTAACAAATACATATTGTATCTTTTTACTCCCTTAAAAACAAATTATTGTTAATCAGTTATAAAATGTTTAGTTCCTCTTCTCTACTCTTCAAGCTATTTTGAAGTTGTACCAATTAAGATTTTTACTAACCACGTGTATTTTGTGTTGTAATGTATAATACCTATCTATCTACATTCTACACATGCTAAACTATAATTCCGTTGTCTGATATATTTTACCCCAATATAAAAAAAATATTTTAAGTATATTTTTTTATCTATCTTTACTGATTAGATAAATAATATTAATTTTCCTTCTTGACTGTACAATGTGATGATGAACATAAACAATATCCGTTAAAACATTAGTTACTGCGCCATAAATGTAAGTATACCTGTATGTTTATCTTGAATAATTATGTCAAATATTGAGTAATCGGCAAACAGTTTTGCCAAGGATGTAGGCAGGTATCTACCGTAGAACTTGTTCATATAAAGTCTACAAGCTACATAATTATCGGAAATGCGTGTGTATACCATTTTAAAATAACTAAGAATATCAAGATGTTTGTGTCTATAAGGCTCATGACAAATAAGTGCAAGATATGGCTCATAGTTATGCTAATTACACAATACAATCTGTTTTCGTTACATCTGATAATATTAATAGAAATTTAACAAAAAGTTACTTTTTACTTGTGGATTTTCTTAGATGAAAAAGAGGCACGGTGGTAATGAAAATAATATATACACATATATATTGTCAATTAAAATCTCCAGGTAGTTTTCTATCCTTATATAAATACTAATTACTTATTAGAAATTAGTTCATTGAATTAAATTGTGTATTTGTGTATATAATGATATATATTATAATTATGCAAATATTAGGAATACAAATTTAATTGACAGGTTTTTCTAGTATCCTTTTAAGATAACACGCTTCCAACTATTATCAGATCTATATCAGATAAAATTGCTTAGGTTTATGGTCAGTTTTAATACTATAAGTTCCAGCAGTAAATTTTAAATTTTATTATTATAAACTATAATTATACTGATAAAACAAAATTGGTTATTAGCCTAAAAATTATTTTATTCTTGAATTATTGTAATATTTTATTTGTAATTTATGATTATTTTTGTGTATACACATACGCATTTAATAATTATTAATACCTTGGATTAAATACTGTTAACACATTTTTTTGAATAGAAATATGTTACAACTATTATTGCTATTAATTAAATTAAACAAATATTAATACTTCAGAGTCATTTTTAATAAATGTAATTGAAATGCACCTATATTTTTTTACAGTAACCTAAGTATGTCGATCATATAGTTTGTTTTATAATTTGAATTGTATTTAAAAAAAAAAATTGTTCCATAAGACACTGTAAATATACAACAATATAAATTATAAGCAATAATATATTATAAAATTATAATCGGATCGTTTGAACAGACATTCAAATTTTAAATCCATTGCTATTTGTGATTTTGGTCGTAAATTTGTGTTGAATGTTTATGTCTTTTACTTTTTTTATCGCTTATGAACATAATATAACATACACCTTTATGGTACATATAGGTGTATGTAATCGCATATCTGCATTAAATATATATATTATGTATCAAGTATAAATACATATAATATGTATTGAGGTTAGTAAGATAGATTTCAGACCACACAATGTAAAGAACGAAATAGCTTCTTACTTTAGTATAGGGTTTTGTGGTGACCGGAGACTTAAGGAGAATAAATATACGCACAGCAAAAATTAAACAACTGCTCAAACCAACCTTGGACGTTTACAAAAATATGTTTTTTCGCTATAATTGTATAAATTTATGTTTTAGTTTAGTGGAAAGCTCCAGACATCTCTCCGAATTCAGATCATTTATAGCTAATTTGTTTATTATTTCGTTATGACTCCCGGCGGCTTCAGTGGAAATAATTTTAATTAGTTTATATATGTATATGTACAATTATAATATGTTGTGATATTAATTTTTTACATTCATTTAATTTTCAACGGTGAAAGCTAAGCTATATTTGTTTATATATGGGTATGCTGGCAAATGATAAATCGTAAGTCATGAATCTAGTGAATATTAAATACTCATAGAGGTATATGTATTACTATATAGTTGGGGTCAGTATAATGTAGATATGTAGTGTACACTATTACATTAATATTTACATCTATAAAGGAAACAAAATGTTAATATCATCCTCTAAACATTTAACACATACATGCCTATCTAGTATGTTGCCTAGCAATTAATTCTGTTACATACCTATTATTTTTGGTCATATGACGTGTATACTCTTGAAGGTGCACTAAGTATTTAACGATAATCAATTATGATTGCTCCAAAGAAGTTGAATTATTAACGTTTTAAAAGTTGTTTCGAATGAGAGCCAATAAAGGAGTAAAAAATAAATGTTAGCTCTTAAGTGCTCTTCACAGAAAGCAATTTCGTATTCAGCCGCCCATATGCTCCTTGTATAGTATCCATACAATGTTTGCCAGAGAATATAAATA